ACCGGAGACAGTGTCCAGGTGAGAGGACAACAATGAATGAGAGGACAAAACCAAGACCGTGTCAGAAACCTCTTACAGTTTTTACTTCCTGTAAGGTCCAGTGTTCATGGTCTCCGTCAGGTTAGAGCTGTTCTGAGGGCCTCACAGAACCACATTTGGACCTCAGTTCTGGATGGGTTTTATGGAGACAACGGACCATGAGGTTTGGCTCATTCAGCTCATTTCTGGGACGATGAGCCGTCGATGATGCAGGAAGCTCGTCAACCAATGTATGGAATGGACAGAAGCTGCTAACACTGGCTCAGTGAGCTGTCAATCTAAAGCTAGGGCTGCTGGGTAATGACCGTTTCCATGGAAACCAGGCTGATTGGATGGAACACATTTTGCTGGTAAACTTGAACGTTTTGGGTTGGTTGGGAGGAGAGAAGGTTGGAGGTGTTCACCAGAGTTCTGCTTCAGGGTCTCTTCAGTTCTGGTTGGTGGTTCTTGGTCTGCAGGCTCTCACTGGAGTTATAAATGTTTGTCATCGAATCATCACAATCTGATTCTTCCAGAAGTGTCTCGTCGAACACGCCTTCAGTTTAATGTTCTCGTGCTGGCAGTAAAGTTTAGTAAAAAAAACATGTTCGGCTGAGTTCATCAGTTCTTAGTTCAGGATCTGTAGATTATTTACTGTTGGATGTGTGGAACCTCAGTCTGTGGACTTTAGTTAGATGCAGTGATGTAAGGCCGAGGCCCGGCTGTTCTGAGTCAGCTGCCAGTGAGCTAATTACAGACCTGAACTCAGCTGAACCTTTAACCCAAACCAAGAGTCTCAGCTGTGTGTTTGGCTACAAACAGAAACTTGTGGCAGGTTCGGCTGCAGACAGAAACGTGTGGCAGGTTCGGCTGCAGACAGAAACATGTGGTGGGTTCGGCTACAAACAGAAACATGTGGTGGGTTCGGCTGCAGACAGAAACTTGTGGCAGATTCGGCTGCAGACAGAAACTTGTGGCGGGTTCGGCTGCAGACAGAAACGTGTGGCAGGTTCGGCTGCAGACAGAAACGTGTGGTGGGTTCGGCTGCAGACAGAAACGTGTGGTGGGTTCGGCTGCAGACAGAAACGTGTGGCGGGTTCGGCTGCAGACAG